GCGGAACCACGAAGCTTCACTCACTGTCCGTCATCCTGAAGAGCAGCTAAAGAGCGCATTTGTACCAAATGTGATGCATTCACTGACTGTTTATGAGTGGATGGATGGGGCCAGAGAGGCCAGGGGCTAGAGACGTCAGGGGCCCTGGGCCGGGGGCTAGAGACGTCAGCAGCCCTGGTGTGAAGTGACTGTTCCTATTCCAAAGTCACAGAGCTCAGTTAAAGATGCAAAACAATCACAGACTGAGGGTCACCACAAAGAGATGCAACACCTTCCCAAAAAGCAAAGCTACCAGAAACACAAAGACACAAAACAAAGACACGTAACTATAAAGACACACAACAACTGATGGTCCTATACAGGAAGGCTGGGGGGCCTTTCACCTGCCTGAGCCCAGGGGCCAATTTTGTCATGATGTTTCCATGGCTGTATATTCTGACAAGCATTTGGATTGTGATGCAGCTGCTTAGCTTTGTAAAAACAAACCACCAGGTCAGTGAGTAATGTCTGAGCTGAACAGAACCAAACCCCTTACAACCCCTGACCCCTTGGCCGGGCAGGAGGTGGCTCAGACCTGCCGGCAGCAGAAACAGCTTCGACACCAAGGCGTTTCAGCTGCAGAAAACTGAAAGTGAGGCCAAGACATAATGTTGTCCTGCAGCATGTCGTAACAGGAATGCAGTGGGCTCGTCTTGCTCTCACGCACACACACGGCTGAGGAATGTCTCAGCCAGCTGAGAGTCGTTCGTCCTGTTGAGCACAGAAACTCTGGGTTCTGAGAAAAGCTCTTCTCAGTTTCACTTGCTTTTACGTTAAATCACAGTAAAGGTCTGAGCTTCCACACAGAGATGAGGCCTGATGGTAGTGCTCATCACCCTGTCAGAGGGCACTCTGCCCTGTGTACTCTGTCTCATACAAATTTTAAACATCCACCAGCTAGAAAAAAACGGCCAGCTCATGTTGTTTCTTGCTGAAAGTCTAACAAAAGTAACTAAGAGCTGTACTGAGGGTCGGTTCCCGGGTATCCGCAGGTTACTGTACTTCTACTTCACTACACTTCACACAGCAATGTTGGACTTTTAATCGACTGCATTCTTTTTACGGCTTCCTCCTGCTGCTGACATGTGCCACCGAAACATACACTAAACGCCCTGACCTCCCACACGGATCCTCACCAGTCCCCTCAGGTTTACCCGCTGACCTGTGTTCAGGGGCCTGAGCGCCAAGCCGAGACACGCTGGGCCACGGCTGGTACACACAGGACAAGCTCCGAGTGGCTGGGCCAGGCCGCTCCTGGCCGTCTGGTTCGGGTCTGACTTCAGCACAAATGTCAGTGTTTGATCCCTGGGAACAATCACACCTGATCTTTTCTTCTTCTGTTGAAAGAAAAGCTGAATGAAAACAGTGAACAAATGCTTCTCCAATCCAAAGCCCATCAGCAAACTCGCGCTGTGTAAATCTGAGCTATTCACTGTGTGTGTCCTGCCTGCAGCAGTGTTTGCAGGTCGGAGCGAGACCGTGCTTGTCTTCACTCTGAAGCTGCTTCACTCTCGCTTTGCTGCTGTTTGAGGAAAATTCCAGCAGGACTGAACCACATCTCTCTTTACAGATCCACTGCAGATAAACTCAGGTGCCATGTGTCTGCACCGCCACAGAAGTCAGCCTGTCACGTAGCCCGACCTCCTGGCCCATAACCTTGTCTCCAGGTCTAATGTGGAACTTCATCAGATCTCAGCTAAAGCTGGGTGGAGGCACTAGGAGTCCAAGGCCACAGGGAGACCCTCTGATTCACTGCTAGGAAAACATCTCAGCGCCTCTGGCTCGATCCAGGTCTGCTGCTGTGCTCACTGACAGGAACGAGGATGTCCGTGACCTCACTACTTACAGCATGGCGACAAAGATTCATAAGAAGCCTTCAGAAACAATGCAAAGACTGGTTTCTAACTGATCAGTTCACTCCATGCAAAGTGCAGCCAACAGGACACAGTATCTGGACTAAGCCAGCAGCAGTTGTCCTCAGTACACCTCAGGTTCAGGCGTCTCCAAGGGACATTTACCAAACCTGCTGCAAAATACCTCCAGCTATGCAGTTCTGGGTTTAGCAACACTGATGATGTAACCGAGTGCAGCCACAGCAGAGCTCATGTGAATGACCTTCTGCCTGTGTTGTGCACGTGTGGCCTGAAATGGAGCACAAAGTGCATGTTTACTGCTGCTGAACTTTAATACTGGTTGAAGAAACCAACATATTCCTGACATGCAGCCAAACTGTCTTTCATCTTATTCACTGCCTGAAGAATGTTTGACCTCTGAGGCTGTAACGGTTCCTCGCAGCATCCTACCCCCCCACAGTGTGTGTCGTCCCCCACTCCCACAGCAGGGCACGTCACCATGGCTCTCGCTTTATAGCTAAGATAAACGATGGAACCGTTTATCTCTTCCTGTAAGTTCAGCTTCTCTCTCTTGTGAACCGGCGACCAGCCAGGAGCCGCATTCAGCTCAGGCTCGGTGTCGTTGCAGGCGTCAGTCAGTGAAACAACTCAGCCCTCTAACCCCGGTGCCATGGTCACCACAGGGCTCCACCGCCTTCTGTACTGTTGCTGTGGAGCTTCAGTTCGCTGCTGCCAGAGAGACGCACAAACACACACACTGCCAAGGTCTTTCCAAGAAGCCAGACAGAGGGGACGAGGCTGGCGCGCCCCCACACACACACACACACACACACACACACACACACACCATTCATTAGAGGTTTGTGTTTGTGTTAGAGCACTGGTCAAGGTCTCTCCCTCCACTATTCTGCAGTCATGTCTGTGCAGATTCTCAGTCATCCAGGTCATAATAAGCTGAAAAAAAATCAACTGGACTAGAGTTCTAGGTTGAAGACGTTTCACCTCTCATCCAAGAGGCTTCTTCAGTTCTGACTGACTAAGCCATGTTGAACCCCATAATGCGAGTGTGTCAACAGGTTCCAGTCCCTGTAATGTAAGTAATACAAAGGTTACTGACTGATCACTGGAGAGACAGAAACAGTTTGTCGAGCGGCCAGAAAGAGAACCAGTGGAGGTTTAGGGAGAAGGAAACGTCACTCAGCTTAGAGTCGGCGGCAGGAGAACAAGACAACAGGGGCAGACTGGACTCAGCCTGGCCACCGTGAACTGCGCTCATAACACTGAAAACATCTCGTCAAGACTTTAATTTCAGTCACAGTTGAGGTTTAACTGCGGGTAACCATAGCAACAGCCCGATGCTTCTAGACCACTGGTAACTCCTGGAAACTCAAACCTCCTCAAGGTCTGAAAGTCTGAAACCTATCACCTCCTCTGGAACATCTTCTTAAACATCTGCTAGGACCTTCTCAAAGGTCTCTGTAACCTCATCAGAACTTCTGCTGGGCCCTCTACCACTTTTAGAACCTCCTCACAGACTTCCACCACCTATAGCACATGTAGAA